CATTACAACCACACCCCCACAAGTGTTCCCTGTAAGCTGTGTGGCATGCACAGCCATGCAGGTGCACTCATGCTGCATAGCCAGGTGCAACTACATGGCCGCACATGCCATGCAGCTTAGAGGGAACACTCACCCCACCAACAAATTGTGAAGTCCCACAGACCAGATGACATGGCTCTGTACACTGGATCTCATCAGTATGGAACTGGGGCAGCAGGCCTGATCTGGCATGCACAGGTCCAAGGCTGGGGCAGCAGGCCCAATCTATCACATGTGACACCTGATCTAGCAGGGAGGCTTGATCCAGCACATGCAGGGCTGGGGTGGAGGGGCCCAATTCAGTGCCTATGGGGCCAGGGCTGGGGTTGGGGCAAGGGTGGAGATGCCTAATCTAGTATACATAGGCCCAGGCTGGTGCAGTGGAGCCCATCCCATATGCCTGAGGCTGCTGCCACAGCCACAATATGGCATGCAGGACAGGGGCCAAATATGGCATATGCTGGATGGGTCCCACAGACAGGATCTGGCCTGCAGACCCAACCCACATATCCATGCTGCAGGGCGAAAAAATTGGACATTAATAGGTTACAGTAAGGTCTCCAAGTAAAACCAGCCTTCTTTGAAATCAAAGAAAGTTTCACCACTGACTTTAGTGGGGACAAGCTTTCACCCTCAGACTTCAAGCATAAATGTGTAGCCTACTTAATTCTTAAAATGAAAATAAAAATAGAAAAAAGAAACAGACAAATAAAGCCAAGCATCTTGAAAGGAAACCTGAAGAACTATATTATTGTAATAGATTGTTTAAAAGCACTTTTTGGTTTTAGACCACTGGAAGGTAAATCTTGATAATAGTTCCTCTACACTGAGTAGATTCTGTCTTGAATATTCTTGAGTCTGATCCTCTAGTATGTAAGACAAGGAAAAGGAGAGACAAACTCTGGTGTCCCAGATCAGATTAGATATTTTGTTGAGCTGGTTGAGAATTTTTCATCAGAATATTTCTGACAGAAATGGCTTCTAACTAAAATGAAATATTTGAATCTTCTTTTTAAAAAAGCCTATAAAGACCAATATAGGCATTGGTTTTCAGTTGACTTGGAATGTTCAGAAATTAGATTGTCATGATCTAAGATGTAAACTATCACCAGTCACCGGCTACCAATAATATTCAAAAGCATCTTCCTTCTTCTAATGGGAGAAAATGTTCTTAGAAATGTTAAGGTCAAACAAGAGTTCAGAGAACTAAATGTATGTTAAACTGTTTATTGTAATTTGTATATGACAAAATACCTGAAAGTTATCAAGGGCTTTCTCTCTTTTAGTTGTATGATGGAGAGAATGAAAATGCTAATTTAGTTGGCACATTTTGTGGCTCCACCATTCCAGCTCCTTTTGTTTCTACCAGTAACTTCATGACTGTGAAGTTTTCCACAGATGTATCTGTTGAAAGGGCGGGTTTCAACATTACCTACACAACTGTGGATAGTAAGTATGTTGTCTGACTGCTTTGTATCTCAAAGATAAAAAGTACATGTAAGCAAGGTGCATGTACCTGGGACCTGGATGCATGAAAGCAATGAATCCATCATCCCCTTATCAACACCATAACTCAAGATAGATATACACCAATGGTAGGGTATATCTTGCTATAACTCCCAAAAGACCTATAGCTAAGCCAGGAGTAGAAGATTCCAAATGAAGTCCTACCTAGTCTGTCACCTTTTACTTCAAGGTAGTCATCACCCTCAAGAGCAGTTCACCATGTAGGCATAATAAATACCAGGGGAATATGGGAAATATACATTTATCTGAATGTGGATACATACAGGCACAGAGACTGATAGATATGAATTTTCAGAATGGTATGCTTTGTTGTAGCAAGATGATTAAGCTGTTACTGCTTCCAACAGGACTGTGTGGAGGAATATATAACGCAACTTCTACCCAACAGACTGCAATGTCACCTAATTTTCCAAATGCATATCCACCATTTACTGTTTGCGTTTGGATCATTGATGCTCCTCCACAAGAAGAAGTCCAACTGGCAGTAGAGACATTCCATCTCCATTCCAGCCAGGACTGCTCTCAGAATTACCTGGAATTCCAGGACCGCACAATGGTAAGACTTGCACAATGCATGGCTCTGCTCAAAGATCTCTCACTCCTTCAGACAGTATAAGGAAGACGATAATTTGATAAGTAATTATGGTTACCGAATGAAATTCAGCCCTGTGCAGGGTGCCCCAGGCAAGTCATTGTGTACTACTAAAGATTCATATGGAAAGGCAGAGCTTATGCAAGTCTAGAGCACAGAGGTGAATGTGGCCCACTTTGTACTTCAAACTTTCTACAGTTACAGGAAACAAGTCATTTGCCAAAATTAACATTGATGAAATGCTCCATGATAGGTTGTTATAAACACATGGCAGTGGAATATTTAGGATATATGATAAGAGTTAATATTCCTGCCAAAAATTGTTTTTTATAAAAAGGTAGAGAGATGTAGTTTGTTTCTATTGCATTTAACATTACTAAATTTCCTTTGGTTACTGATGTGAAAATTGCTCTTACATTTTATTCACCTCTAGTAGTGACTGAATGTCTGATTTTAACATACTAGGGCATTACGTTATTTTTATGGAAATAAGGGCATGTCTACACGTTCATTAATGTGCCTGAGATACTGCACATTTAGTTTAGTACAGTAAAATCCCCATTATCCAGCACGAGTGGGGAATGGCAAGTGTCGATAATCTAAAAATGCCAATTACCTCAAAGACAGGTGTTTCTGACTGGATGCAGAGCCAGGGTGGCTGCAGGTAGCAGTGGCCAGATGTGGAGCAGGGAGCAGCGGGGTGGTGGCATCTGCAGAGTGCAGCGCAGAGTGGCACTCAGCCTGCAGAACAGCAGAAGCACAGGGCAGCCCATGTGTGAGCTTCCCCCTCCCTCCCCACCCCCCATGTCCAGCCAGCAGAGTAAATGTGGGGGTGAGGGAGTGTGGTGGCACGGTGGCCGCATGCAAAGCGGCAGCAGCCACTGTGTGCAAGCTTTCCCCTGTGTCTGGCTAGCCAGAAATTCCGGTTAACCGAGTATTGCAGCCAGTTAAATGCTGGATAGCAGAGATTTTACTGTACTTCATTAATAAAGTACTAATTAAATGTGTAGTATGTAGAGTTACTGCACAGTAGTGCTGGTGAATGGTTATTTAGTGAAACTTACTGTGCATTAGCCTAATAACACTGTACAGTAGGCTATTAGCATGTTTTTTGCTGTGACACACTACTGCGCAGTATTAGGCTAATGCACAGTAAGCATCTTATGTAGATCCACCCAGTGTGTGATTAGGAGTGCTCCTGGTTTTCTCTGATGAAAAAATTGCAAATTCCCTGATTAAAAGTACCTCCAAAATCCAAGTTTTTCCATAAGTAAAAATGAAACACAACTATATATATATATATATATATAGATAGATAGATAGATAGATAGATAGATAGATAGATAGATAGATATCAGCTGAACACAATGTTTTATTGTTATATTAACAATTTTAAAGCAATTTGGAAGCCTACCAGCACCTCAATCACTATAATGAAGAACTCCCCTTGTCCCCTTTGCTCACCAGGATGTGGGTCCTGCTGTGGGCACCCCCCCACACATACTTTGTGGCATTGAGCTGTGCCCTGCCAGTGCCCTGCCCGTGTCATTGCCCTTCACTCCCACACTACAGCTCCCCGGGCCTGCTGGTACCCCTCACTTCTGAACCACAGCCTGCCCAGCCCTGCCAGTGCCCCTTACTCCCCCATGCCTCCCTGGGAGCGCACACACCAGTGACGAACCAGCCTCCCACTGGCCCCCCCCAGACAAGCTGCCCTTGGCTTTTTCCCACTCTCTTCCTGGGCCCTGCAGTCATGCATTCCAGCCCTGGGCCCTAAGACCCACACAGCTCCAGCCCCAGCCCCAGCCCCAGCCCCTGTGTATGTGCGCATATGCACATGGCACCCCCGGCCTGATCTCCCTTCTCCTGCTCCCCCCAGCCCCTTGCAGACTGGAACTCTGCCACCCTGCAAGAAGAAACCCGTTGTTTCCAGCTTTAATCTCCTTTAAAGGAGAAAATCCGGGTTTTTCCTTAAAATGAGAAAGGCCAGGTTTTGCCACATTTTTCCATGACAAATGGAAAACCCAGATCCCTGGTGATTAATGTAAAAGGTACACATTAAAATAACTTCAGAAACATATTAGTGGGCCTTTAGCCCTGGTGCTAATCTCTGTTGGCTCATGGTTATCATCAGAACTGTAAATACTGTTAACGTTCAGAGGCCATTTTTATATGGCAAGAATGCCATAGGAAAATGACATTTTACATATAATCAAAAAAGGAAGTTTTGTTACCTGAGAATAGATAGCACATGAACTATTACAACTAGCCATTGAGAAGTAATCTCTATAAAATGTTGCTTTGGGAAAGATGGAAGCAAAAAAGTAGAGACTATAAAAATGAAAGTGAATGCCTGCTCAACTGGTTTTTCATTTTTCTTCGTGTAAAATGTTCAGATGTCCAATATGTGACAAGTATCATTTGTTCACCCAGATAATTCTAAATTATGGGTTCATTTTGCTTAACACTGCTATATGAAATCAGATTTTAATACAGAAAACTATTAAATTACTAGAAGATCTGTTAGTGTAAAGTTAGATAACCCAAGAAACCGGATTACCTTTTAAAAGTCACCTATAAAGTGCTTATATTTTTAATTCCAGAATAACCGTGGACAAATCCATAGATTCTGTAGCACTGAAACTTTTGCAATCCCTGAGTTTTATTCTCATGGCCGCACTGTCATTGTGACTTTCAGATCAGAGGAATATATGATTAATAATGGAGTCAGGTTTACCTATCAAGCTGCAGGTATGTTTGAAAAAGTTCCTAAAGCATCTACGTACAGATTCCTTTTTGTAACTATGGATAGTTAACAGAAAGTCATATAGAGATTTATAAGGCATATAAATCTTTTGCTTTCTCCCACCAAAGGTTGCAGCAGAGAATATAATCAGTCATTTGGTTATCTGAAAAGTCCTGGCTGGCCTGGTCTTCATCCCAATAACCTGGATTGTACCATTATTCTGCGAGCTCCGCTGAATCACACAATTTCTCTCTTTTTCCATGCTTTCAATCTGGAAGACACCCGGCAATGTTCACATGATTTCTTAGAGGTATTAACAGGTTTTGCATTGTCAGTCTGCTCAAAAGTCTGTTCAAGTCAAAGGGAGTCTTTCTATTGACTTTAACTGGCTTGGATCAAGCCCTGCCCAAAGAATTACAGGGGACACTATGATAGGTATCGGTTTTATGTTGAAGATGCCATTGTGATGGATAGCAAGGTAACAATCTAAAATAGATGGCTGCTGTTCACCCAAGTGATGTCATCACTTAGCCACTTAGGGAACTTCAAGGTGGTATGGTTGACATTGTGATTTTTTTCATTTGTGAATATCCAGAACCCTACAGGCTGAAGGATTACCTGTCATAAATGTTAAATTTCCCTTCAAATGTATGAAAATAATGGATAAAGCGGTTGAAGCAGCAGAAATAGAACAGTTGCAAAGGTGTTTGAAAATTCAGTGGCTAGGTGAGAACAATATCACTTGAATGAAGTGCAGTCTGATTTAGATTATTATTCTGCTGTCCACACAAACCTTTTATTCAGTCTCTGCACAAGTCATGAAAGCATCGCTATGAATCCTTAAGTTGCTAGCACAAATTTATTCATCTATCAGAAATCAGGTTTCTGTGTGAGAAAATTATCTGTCCTTCATTTCTTTTATGCTATGATCCTTCCTTAACTCATTTATTTGATTGGGTCCTAGCTCCATCATTCCCTAAACTCTGGGAAATTTTATATTCAAAACTTGAGCTTTGTAATGTGACCCACCCTTCATCTTAACAGGGAAAGGTAAAAACATCTGCAACGTTAAGATTTTGTAATAGGAACAAAACATATACAGGTGTATTTTAAATGCAAAGTTTAAACTTAAGCCAGCAACTCTCATTAGATGGAAAATGTACCATGATATAATGTTTAGTTTAAAATTACTGGCTATATTTTGTTCTGTGCTGTTGCTTAAAAAGCCACAGGAGACTAATTGACTGTCTCCTCTCACTCTTAAGCAGCAGTTTACAGTAGGAAAAAAGCCATTTGCTGTATATATTTACCATGAAACATAAATCACAATACACATAAAACTCACAAAATCTTTGAACTCTGTCTGTGCTTTGTTTCATGTACAGTTTATAAATAGATTTAACATTAACATACACTGACCATATGGAAACCTCAGAAATCCAGGACATAATCCAGGAAATTCGGGACACTGCCCCCCATCCCTCTTTACACAAGTCAATGGGGGCATGGTTACATGCCACGCAGGCAGTGGTGCCTGCCTGCAAGGTGCTCCACTCCTGTCCGACTCCCAGCCAGACTGCACCCCACATCCCCATGTTTCCAGGATGCTCACTATAATTCTCAGCAGCTGGCCAGGATCAGCTTCTGGGATATATGGTAACCCTACGTTAACAATGGTTTTATATTCTCTTATAGGTCAGAAATGGAAGTGATGCCAGTTCCCCACTACTTGGCAGGTATTGTGGAAATACTTTGCCCAGTCCCATCTTCCCTAAAAATCAGGTTATCTACCTACATTTCAAGAGTGACATTTTAGTTGCTCATGATGGATATGAGATCACTTGGACTTCATCACCAACTGGTAAGACAGCAATACATAGGTAAACATATCCAGATTAAAAGGCCCAGTATCTCTAAAGCAATGAACAAGAGGTTAAATTAAACCTTAATTGGACATGTCCTAGATTACTTAAAACACTTTGAAGAGCTAGAAATACTGGCTTTATCATTTTAGATCATTCTGTGTCATAAATGGACCATCAAGTTGTGCCATGCCATCAGATTTTAAGTGGAGTTCCCCACTGATCACAACAGGCATGTTGTCTGTACTATGGCAGCATACCACAGTCCTGGGGAGCATTGGGTTGAGCGTGGCCCGCTTACCTCCACAAGTACGTTCTAGACCCAGAAGCTCACCGGTGAGGTTGCTTTGGGTTTGTCCCTAGCACCCACTCTCAGTCCCTGGGTCTCTAGGTGGGTCTGAGAGCAGCCATTGCGTACAGGTCTAGAGCAGCCTTACTGATAAACTTCCAGGTTTGGAGCACATCAGTTGACTCATGTGGGCAGGGCATGCTCAGCTCCGATCTCCCCAGGACCAGCCATGGGGGAAGTATAGATGAGCCCAATACAACCTATTCTTAATGCTGTCTAATATAACCACTCTGGTTTAATCTCAAGATGTAATTCCTTGGGCAAGATTTTTTGCAAAGGAAGAGGCAAAATACCTCTGGTAATATGGAAGCATAGAACAAATCACACAAACACAGTTCCCAGTAAAACAATGAATGATTTCCAAATTCAGGCCACCATTTTCTTGCAGGAATAGCTGTATATGACAGTATATGGATTCCACATTGTTCAGTTCACATGCACAATCAGACAAGTTACAGGTGCCACAAAGTGTTGTCCACTACTTGCTGCCCTGAATTCCATAAAATGCAAGGAAACTACTGGCCTGATAAATTATGGCAAATCTTTAAACAAAAAGGTTTCATAGTGGAAGCTGATTCTTCATAGTAAAACTTAGCACTTAAATAGCACTTTATATATTCAAGGAACTGTAGAAGACTTGAATAATTAAGGCCCCTAGCAGATGTTAAAATAATGGTAACATTGAGATCTGAGAAAGTTTATACCGCATCCCAAAAACTGCACATCCTGCCATGCCACACATGCGTGCAGATGGGCCATAAAATTTGTCAGATCCCAATCACAAAACTGCTGGGGCTGAACTGGGACCCAGGGTTGTACCCTCACCAATCCTGGAGATCTGGCAGGGGTCTGTAAAGGGCCAAAGTGTTAGTATGGGCCATGGGATGGCCACGGGTCCCAGGGGAGTGGGTGGGGGGCTGTTCCCTGGGTCTGGGACACATGCTGTGTGTTCAATTTAGGGTGCAACACAAACCAGCCACCCACATATAACAATGCAGGGGTGGGCGGTTACTTCGGCTGGAGGGCCACTTAACAACTTTTGGTGAGCTGTTGAAGGCTGCAAGGGTAACTCTTCCCCTTGACAGGTGCCCTGCCCCCTCACTGCCATCTTGGGACCAGAAGTCCCACCTCTGACTCCTAACCTTTGACACTGGAAGTCACCCCCCCACCACTTCTGGAAGCGGGGTTTGCCATCTTGGAACCAGAAAAAAAGCCCAAAGCATATATGAAAACTCAAACATCTACTATATTTTAATTTTATTTAAAAAAAATATTTTGTCCTGATGTGTTTGCATGTGTTTGCATAGTGTATATAGATGTGAGTGCATAATAGCTTAAAATAAAGTCTTACTCTTGTATATGGTGTGTAGGGGTGGGCAGTGAGTGTGGGATTTGTGTGTGGGAGTGGGTACATGTGTGGAGTTTGTTAAGGGATGTAGGGGGTGTGAGTGTGCATGGTGCTTTGGGAGGGTTTGTGAAGGGGTATGGGAATGTGTGTGGGTGGGTGTGGGGTTTGTGGGGGGATGCTTGTGAGGGTGTGTTTGGGTGGGTCTGGGGTTTGTGAGTGGGTGTGGGCCCCCTTGCCATACCCTCCCCATGGCGCACACCCTCAGAGAACTCCTGGCCTGCTGCAGGCAGAGCCCCCTGGTGGTGCACAACTCCAGCTGAGTCCCTGGAGCTTCCCTGAATCCCTGGAGCCCACCTGGTTCAGCCTGCTGGCATGCACCTTCAAACCAGACTAGGCTGGCTCCATGCCAGAACATGGAGCTCCTGGCAGTACAGGAGAGAGCTGCATGCCACTGAGTTGGGCCTACTCTGTACTCCATGTGGTTCTTCCAGCACTCCGGTGGGGAGCTGCATGTGGAGGTATGGAGCCTGCCCAGCCCACACCTGCAGTCTGGAGCCAGCCTGGTCTGCTTTGAAGGTGCATGGCAGCAGACTGGACCGGGCGGGCTTCAGGGATTCAGGGCAGCTCCAGAATGGCGGAGCTGGGATTAGAACCTAGAAATTCCTTTACACCTATTTGGTGTTCACTCTTCCTACCAATAGCACCTTACAGCATGCTTAGGGTTACCATATGTCCAGGTTTCCTGGACATGTCCTCTTTTTGGATCCTCTGATCTCTGTCTGGGCGTTTTTTTGAAATCTGAACAAACATCCGGGGTTTTGTTCTGCTCTGCTGGTGGGAGCAAGGAGAGAGTGACCGGAGGCAGGGGGTATCATGTGCATCTGTGTGTGCATATGCACATGGCATGCATGCAGCCAGGCAAGGTGGTGGGAGCAGCCTCAACAGCTGGATGCATGTAAGCCTATGGGGAGTGTGGTTGGAGGGCCAGGGTTTGGGGGTGTGTGTGTG